CCACGGACTTTTGTGCTTTGACAGCTCTCCTCGGCTCCACTGTGACATCTTTTTCATGGGGAGAAAAGAAAGCATATCCCTTGAAGTCCACCCATCGCTAAGTCTGAGATTTTGGAGCTGGAATAATTTGTATTGGAAAATTCCGAGAAATGGTTTCTTTCAATAAACCTCTCTTTCTGGGTCCCCTGTGAGGTTCCAGCAGAGGTTTGAGTCACACTTCCCAGAGAGGGCCTCTGTTGGGTCTACTCATGTCAAGGCCATTTTCTGAGGGGACATGACACCGGGAGGCCAGCCCTGGGCTTGGTGTCCCACAGGGCTCATGGGCAGGGAGGAAAGAAAGAAGACTGCACAGCACTCACAGGGGCCTCCATTCCCAGCCTCCACGTCCACTCTATACACTTCACAGTGAGACAGACTCAAGCTGGGGCTTTTGCTACATGGAGATGGGACCATGTGAACTGGGGCTGGAATGAAGAGTGGTCTGGAAGGACCAGCACAGAGGGGCAGGAGAGGCGTGTGCAAGAGTCTTCGTTCATCTGCTGTTTCCTGAGTGCTCGGAATGCAGTTGGGAGTCGGGGCTGCACCGTGGTCCAGGAAAGCGGACACCGTCCCCGCCCTGTGCACTGTGCGATCTCGTGGTGGGCAGATGAGAACATGTTGGCAAATGAATTACCAGCATGTCGGTGCTGCAGGCAGGACACTGGTCTCTGCCCCCTACCCTGGGAACCGTGCTATCCAGCCCTCCCCGCCCAGCTGACCGACAGTTTCTCAGGACTGGGAGAGAAGAGCAGAGGCCAGCTCTAAAAAGAAGTGGATGGGGAACTAGCAATCCACATGCACCTGCCCATTTCCAGGCCCGGAGTTAGCAAGGCTGAGGGCCGAGCGCGTCACTCTGCAGTTCAGATCCCAGGGTCTCCCCTACAGCTGGCCCAGTAGCCATGGGAAGCTACCGAACTCCGTGGTGCCAAAGTGGAGGCCACCACCATGTTTATTCCATCTCAGAGTGTGATGTGAGGATTAAAAGTGTCAAGTGAACTGATTCACACAGAAGCAAAAAAGAAAATGGGTAGCACACAGTTGGTCCTAAAAAAAAAAAAAAAAACTATTAGCTTTTTAAAAAACTAACCTGCACAACCCTGTGATACAGATTTTATGCCTATTCCATGTTTTCTTTTTCGTATTTCTTTGAAGAAACCGAGGCTCAGAGAATATAAAAGAATGTCACCAGCATCTCACAGGGGCATGTTGGAGTTGAAATGCAGATCCAGGCCTGGGTCGAGTTGAGAGTCATCAGTAAATCATTGCAAAAACCGAAAGCCACAGGGAATCACTCTATGGTGTTTGGACTATTATGGGCTATTTCATATTTATTTTATATCTGCAGCATTCCCAGGTCCGTTCAAGGCATCTTTATATTGGTGATAAGCCCATCTTCTCAGGCAATGGTTCTCCGGGTTGTTCAGGACAAAATGGGCCGTAATTCCTTTTGGGGTGCTGCCTCAGTTTCCCTAATGCTGGAAAAAAGAGGGTTTGAGATTGCAGAGGCTCACGTGTTGGGAAGTTTATTATCGCAGCTGCTCTGAAGACTCACTGCCCCCACCTCCCTCAAGCAACAGCTCGGAGCATCTGCCCTGACCCAGAAGACACCTGGGGCACCAGGGAAGCACACAGCAAGCCCTTCCTCCTCCCGCGGCCAATTCAGACTCCTTGTTCACACTGCCTCAGAGCTGGCCCCTCCCAGAGACGTCATCTTTCCAGAACTATATGAAGGGTCCCTTCTCCCTGACCCAGACACCCGAAGTGCTTTCCATATCTGTGCCAGTGGATTTGCTTCAGGAATTCACCTCCTTCCTAGGTTGCGACAGCCACACAGACATGGGTGAAAGGCACTTTTCCCTCTTCTTAGATCTATTCCATTCTGCAAAGCAGTTATATTTTGAGCACCTGCTGTGTGCAAGACACTGTGCTATGTGATTCAAAAACGAATTGTGAGGATGTCAATCGTGACAGGGACAGGGGCAGGGAGTGGAATGAGACTCTGATGTGCCTGCATAACTTCAGCAAGTGACCTTCCCCTTCAGGCTTAGCTAATTTACGTGGAAAATGGAAATAACATTATTAGCATTTATGACCATCCACACAATGATGATGATTTCATAAGATTACAAATATAAAATGCTTAGCAACCCACCCCTGGCACACAGTAGGTACATCAGATCTATGCTGGGTGACCCTGTGTGATAAGCAGTGCAAATTCTGGCTATTCCCAGAGGGGAATGTGGCTCCCTGACATCAACTTAGCTATAATTTTTGGTTTAATGAAAGCAAAGTCATTCGATATTTAATGGGAAATATGTACCAATGCATTGGCTTCAATGGGGAATCAACTTTGAAATACCATATATTAATCCAGAATCCTGGTCAACATTCCCCTATTCAGGACTTCAATAACACCGTCTCAAAGGCCACCCCCCCATGAGGTCTCGGATCAATCTTCCTGCAGACTCTCTTGACTGAGTCCTCTCACAGGCCACTTGGAACTGTATCTTGTTTGGCCCTTCATGATCTCGTCCTGACCCGCCAACCAACATCACCCAACTCTAAGACTTCTCTCCAAGGGGACCCATGACGGAATCCTATCAATATCCATTGTGTCCGTCATCGGTTGCATAACAATGCTGCCTGAGGAACCAGAGTCTTAAGGCAACAATCATTTCTTTCTGCTCAGCATCTGCAAGTTGGCTGGGACTCGGGGGATCTCCAGGAGGCTTGGTTTCTCACTGAAGGCTCTCAGGTTGACTGGAGGCTGTTTTCCAAGCATCCAGGGCATGCTTTCTTTTTGTGGCAAATGCAAAGATACATAAAAAAAAAAAAAAAAACCAGAAATGCTTCAGATCTTGTCTGGTACAGGCTCCAAACTCCCACCCCATCACCTCCACTTCATCCTACAGGTCAAAGCAAGTCACGTGGTCGAGTCCAAAGCCAAATCAAGGAGAGCGGGCAGGAGTTCAGAAAACTGTGAAGAATGGAAGCCATTAATGCAAATAGCCTATCACATCCACCACCCGGGTGCCTCATACATATAAAATGATCATTAGGCACTGAATAAGTGAACAAGTGAATGAAGGGAATGAAGATGGAGCCCACTTCAGAGCCCTGTCAGGACACATGCCAATTTCACCGGCAGCCACCGCGAATCCAAAATGCGGCACAACAGTAGCACTCTCGTTAAATATTAGTTTGCTACAGGTCCCTAGACTCCACTGTACTTCAGCTGGAGAGGCGGCAGTTCAAAAACTTGTACGTTCACACTGTTATTTTTTTCATGGATCTCGGATTATGAAATAAATCAATATTCCCACTCACCCAGGGGAGCGTCCTGCACACGCCACACCAAGGAAAGAAAAAGGGACGTTGTTTTGCACACACGGGGCAGCAGAGAGGGGAGGGGATCCAAAAGGAGAAGGCGAAGAGGTGACTTTGAGCCCAACCTACAGTGGTTAATTTTCATTTAACTACCTAGCCGAGACTGGAGGCTGAGCAGAGGCACATTAAATTCCATGAACTTATGAAATGATGCATTATTGAAGCCACAGCAGGGGAAAGGGCTCGGTTTAGAACACATAAAAGACTAAAGTCTGCAGAAGTGTCATCTCCCATGACAAGGTAGGGCAAAAAAAAAAGAAAAAAGAAAAGCATTCTAATTGTGAAAGAAGACACCTGCTCCAATGGGGGAGGAAAACCAAACACAAGCCGGAGCCCTCTGCATTCCCTGACCCCAGTAAGGCCTGCAGTTCCTCCTAGGACCCATCACAGAATAAATCTTAAATGATTCTCTTTCCCCTGTGGCCCCCACAACCCACGGCTACACACCACTGTTTACTCATCCCCCCCAACAAATACACACTGAAGACAAACCCCTCCATCAACAGCTCACATTCAAATGGACTCCACAGCACATTAAAAAACATCTTCCTCTCTTACAGGAAGAAAACAAGCAGGCTAAAGAAGGGAAGGAGAGGGGGACTTACCAGAAAATACTAAAATAGGGTGAAAAATTGCCCAACCCTTTACTTACTTCAAGCTGCCTTAGGTTCCCTGTGCTTGTCCTCTCAACAGGTGCTGAAGTTGACCACTAAACTAAGTTGCACGGGACACCCACAGCAGGTTCATCAGCTCGCCATTCATCCCAGCAGACACAATCACGGGGTCCCTGCCTGCTCCCTGCGATCTAATCCTCCTCACCAAGAGGTACCTGGGGAGCCTGGCAAAACCAGACACCCAGAGTAACCGCTAACCCTAGGCAAGGCCAAAGGTAATCCACGCAGCACAGACAGCGCCTCACTAAGGCCTGTTGGATGTATATGCCCCGTCCCCGGGAACCCCCTGCACCCTGTATTGTGTGCAGAGTAGGGAGTGAGCTGAAGATACTGATATGCTGGGACCTGTCAGTTCCAAAGCAAAAGCATGAGCTCCCGGAAGCCCATCCTACAGCCCCCTCTGCCAGTGCCAGTCTCTAAGCTCACAGGGTCTGCTGCCCAGTGGAGAGGAGCTGGGTTGGTGGTGGGACCATGCCCTCACCCTGATGCTCCACCTTCTCTGTTCAAGGTCCACCATACAGAGACCCTATGCCCCAGTGTTCTGAATCTAGCCACGAACCCTCATCACCTGGAGTTTTTGATCTTTGTGCACAAGATGCACACAAACCAACATTTGTGGTGTAGAGTGCAGGCACTACGTTGGTATACATTAAAGCTTCCCCAAGGATTCCAAAATTCAGCCAAGGTGAGACCACGGTGGCCCCTCACTCTCCCCACCAGGGCAGCCCACTCCAGTAAGAAACCCCATTCTTTTTGGTTTATTTTTTAAGATGTTGATGGACCTTTATTTTATTCATTTATTTATATGCAGTGCTGAGAATCCAACCCAGGGCCTCACACATGCTAGGCAAGCCCTCTACCACTGAGCCACAACCCCAGCCCAGGAAACCCCATTCTTACCGCTTCTTCTCCCCTTCTTATTTCCGTGGGCCTCCACTCCACCACACCCCACATGGCTCACAGGAGTGAATGTTCAGAAACCCTGGTGGCCTCTGTTGCAGCCACTCTATCTTCCAGGCAAAACTAGAAGGTAGGACCTGTAGAAATCTCTCCATGATCTTCCAAGGCATTGAGCTCAGGCACGCAGGAGCACAGCATGGCGTTCTAAGCCTGCTTTGGCCAGATATGAACTCTGGGTCACAAGAAAAGACACCTCACTGTGTCTTATGTAGATGGAGCCCCACGGCACCCACCTCCTCAGGACTGTTGAGCAAACACAATGAGAATCATTAACCAAGTGGATGACATATGGCAGTGCTCAAAAAGTGGCAGCAGATCTTTTTAATTTATTATGTGGGAGTCGGTCCAAGGACAGCTTACATACCACAGTGGAATTTCTAGGGCCGTTTAGCAGTTTATGGGGGCAACAAATGGGACAGAATATTTGAAATCAAGTCCACCCCCCAAATCTGCTCACTCAACCCTCTGTGTTAATGCACAGGCAAGACACAGGGTCACAGCACTGGAGCAGGAGAGATGCAGACAGGGGTGGGGAGAGAGCTCACCTGCACAGGTAGGTGGGGGGAACTGGTATCCCGAGCCTCCAGGTGGGACAGGCGAACCTGAGGCCGGAAGAGCACGGGAAGGAACCAAGAAGGTCAATGGGCTCTCACCATGAATGTATTCGAGTGTAACTAGAAGACAGAAAAAAGAGGCCATTCATTCTTTTGCTCCCTTCCAGAAGACAAGAAAAGACGACACAGGCCTCCGGTGATCAGGGTACAGAACCAGGATGGAATCCATTCCGGCGAGTCTCCTGGGAGGCCATGTATCTGTCATCTATTGCCGTGTAACAAATTACCCTCGAGTTGGCAGCCTGCAACAGCAGACATCTGTGCTCTCCGTTTCTGTAGCTCTGGCATAAGTCTGGGCACAGCTAAGTGGGTCAGAGTCTCATAAGGCTACAAAGTGTCACCAGGTGGAAGCTCGAGGGAGAGTCCACCTGTAAGCTCACGGTGCCGTAAGAATCCTGTTCCCTGTGTCTGAATGCAGTGCCTTCTTGCTAGCTGATGGCTGGATTGCTGAAGCCACCCCCAGTTCTTTGCTGAGTGGGCTCCCCCCACATGATAACCTCATCAAGGCAGCAACAAGAGCCCTCAGGGACCCTGCCTGCAAGATGCGGGTCTTACAAACGCCAACAGGATGTGATCCCAGAAGTGGCACCCACCACCTCTGCTGCCGTCTGGTGGTTACAAAAGGTCACAGGTCCCTGGCACATACAGTGGGATGACACAAGGGTGTGAACACCAGGAGGTGGGGATCCCAGGCACCCTTAGAGTCTGCTTGCCAAGTCTTTCTTTTCATGGTGGCAAAATACACACAACATAAAAGTGACCACTTTAACCACTGGAGGGTTCAGTAGAAGTCAGTTCACGTCATTTGCAACCATCCCTACGACCCTCAGCCAGGACACTTTCATCTTCCCAACCTGAAACTCTGTTGTCCACTGCACGCTGCCAACTCCTGCCCCAGGCCCTAGCCACCACGGTTCTGCTTTCTCTCTCTATAAATTTACCTACTCTTGAAACCTCCTTTAAATGGAATCATAACTGTGTGTCCTTCAGTGACTGGCTTACTTCACCCAGTGTAATGTCCCCAAATTTGGCATGTGACAGGGTTTCCTTCCTGCTTAGGGCTGAATAATATTCCATTGTGTGTATTTATCTCCTCCTGTTCATCCATCTGACCTCTGATAGACACTTAGGTCAATCCCACTTTGGGGCTTTTGTGAATGATGCTGTTACGAACACATGTGTACAAATAAAGTACACTCAAGTCCCTGATTTTAGTTCTTTGGGGTATATAACCAAAACTGGTCACTGGACCAGAGTGCCAGGGACTCAGCTGAGGCCAGAATATGTCTGGACTGGAGCAGAATGGCCTGGGAGCATATTAGAAACTTTTGATGAGGCACAAGGAGGGTAAAGGGTGCTGGAGTGGCTGAGAGCAGTGTCACCTGAGCGCAGCTCTCTCCCAGTGGGGCTGCCACCCTGCTGCAGCCTAGGACACCGATCCCCTCAACTGCAACACCCACCTGGGCTCAATCCTGACCTTTTTTTGCTGGTTCTACCCTTTAAAGGAGCCCTTCTCTGCTACGTGGCCAGCAGAATGAAGCCAACACTCTCCCCGGCCATGCCATGGAAGTCAAGTGGGAGACCCAACAGAGAACAGCACCTTCCCTACTGACTGGACTGACCGGAGGCGGGAAAAGGCACTTCGAGGCACTTCCCAGCTGCCACCCTGGAGTTCTCTGCCCGAACCTCAGCAGGTTACAGACGGTGCTGCCCAAAGGAGGTCGGTGCTTTGAGGAGTCTCGGGAGAATTTCCGCTTCCCTTTCCCAAAAGCCCAGGAAAAAGCTGAAAGGAAAACCTCAGGTTGACTCACAACTGTCGATGAGACACACCCGTCTTTGCAAACCAGCTGCTGCCTCTGCCACCATCAGAGCGCAAGACAGCGTTTAAATCAAGCCCATTCTTTTGGGAAACCTTACATAGCCACTCCTCCGCTGCTATTTTTACTTACCCCCAAAGCTGTAAGCAGTAAACTCACACTGGTGATGCATGAAGACGAAGTCCCAGGCATCTATTATGATAGGCAGGATGGGGGGGTTCCTCCCTCAACCGTTTTGAGGGGTGCAGTTGGGTGGAACTGAGTACATTTGCATCATTGTGCAACCCGCACCAACATCCATCTCGGCACTTCCTGACCTCCCAGGGCTGCGCGATGCTGCACCTGGCTGTCCCTGTCCTGGGGCAGCACAAACCAGAGGGGCAGGCGGGGCCTGGGCGGGCACAGACGCCAGGATGGGTAGCCTGGTGGGGAAGCTCAGAGAGGGGAGAAGTCCCCATCTCCCCCATCCCATCTCAGCCCATGAAGGGAGTTGGGAGGGGAATGCCAATGAGCCCTACAGACAGCCCAAGTGTGGCGCTTTATTACAGAGCCTAAGTGACTGCAAACAGGCCATTACCAAATCTCTTCAGTGACAAAGCTCCGTGTTGAAGGGCACAAATAAAAATAAGTACATTAAGCACAATAAATCACAGGGGCCTGTCGTCGAGACCCATTATCCCTGGGGGATTACGGGGTTGTTCTCCTGCCTGCGCTCAGCTATTGGATCCCGGTTTCCCCCTCATTGTTTTAATATTGCAACCATTACTCTCTACGCCGCCAACAGCCTGCTGTTTCTCTGTAGTTCTGGGTGGCAAGGGCGTAATTTGTTTTATGATTTCCTTGGGAGGGTAGCTGTTTTATATTCATCTTTAAAAGATACATTCAATAATCGCAGCAGTGAGACCCTGCTTAAAAAACAAGACCGGGTCCTGCCATTCCTCCTGAGTCAACATGAGCACAGCAGCGGCCACCCAACCATCACCAGGAGGGCCACAGAGTCTCTTTGGAGGGTGACGTGCCCAAGGACAGCTTTAGTCTTGCTTCAAAGAGCCACTGATTCATGTGGGAGGCAGCGCAGGCTGGAGGGAGGTGGCAAGGGGCTGGGAGTCAGGAGGTCTGGGTTTTGCCATGATGCTGGGGTAACCTTGGACAAGTCCCCTGATTTTCATCCACAAAATATGCCAATCAGACCTCATGCCTTTTAGGAGCCCTAAGGATCCTACCTTTAGACAAGATGCAGAGGAGTGTGAAGCACTTTAATAATAATACTTGTATTCCTCCTCTCCCAAATGGATTCCTGCTACATTCATTTTAAGATAGAATTATGCAACCGTCCGAGACACGTCCCACCAGTTCCTTCTGGGATCCATGTAGAAACCTTCCCTTCCGCCCCCTCAGCCCCTGACATGTTGTCTTCCAAGACAGCTCGTTGTAAATTCTGTCAAGACCTCCTCCAGTGTTATCCATCAGGAAGAGAATGGGGGACAGGTCCTGAAGGACAGACTGTGGGGGGCCACTGGCAGGACTGTCTGTTAGGCTCCTCCCCCTCAGAAGTGAACAAGGGAGCAAATCCCCTCGGCTCTTCTGCAAGACGACAGTGCAGGCGTGGGGACATCAACAGTCCTTTCAGGCATCCCCATTTCAATTACCACATCTGAATCTCGCCACGAAAAGAGCACTTCTCGCAATGTAAGGCTTCCAAGTGCAGCAGAGCGCGGGGCGGCCGTGCAGCGAAATTGATCCCGGAACTTCATCGCCCGTGTGAGAGGCAATGACATAAAACCCGCCCGACAGCGCCCCACTCTCAAAATCCTCTATAAAGGCCTCAAATTCAGAAAAGGCAAAAAAAAAGTTACAAGCTCTCCCGTGCTAGAAGTGGAGCTGGGTTTTACGGATCATCAAAGCCCGTTGAGCAGCCTCTTGCGGGTGGAATACAGAAGATTCCTTCCAACCAAGCGGTGCCTCTGGCTTTGCAAAATTTGGTGTAACAACCCAATAAATACCAAGTGGAGTTAGATATATGGTCGCTTTTAGCTCAGAACTGCAGGTGGCAAGTGGCAAAAGAGGTATTATTGCCTGGAAACATGAGGGCTACGGGACAACCCAGCCGGGTCACGGGGAACCGACCCTCCCAGAAGAACACGGCACGCAAGCAGGGACATGGTCTCATTCTTCTCCTCACCCCAGTGCCCAGCACAGCGCCTGGCACATCACTGTTGGCCAGTGCTCTGCGTTCACTGAATGAGGGAACGAAGGAAAGAATCTGAGCAAACTGACACTGGCCCCTGCAACCCTCAGAAATCCTGATCCAGTGACGAGAATATGCTAAGACCTGTTTAATGGAGAAGTGGGCTTTCTGTAGCACTTTAGACATCTCAAAAAAAAAAAAAAAAACAAATTCAGACAGCAATCTACTCTACTCTACCACGCTGCATGTAAAAGGAAGGCAGAGAACCAGGTCCTTTCAATGTCACTGGGAGGGTCTGGAGGGTTGTTGTGTTTGTTTTGTACCTTTTTTTCCCCTTACAATTGCAAGTGATTAGGAAGAAGCAAAAGAGAAACACCATCAGAAAACATTCTTAGCCTCTGCCCCTGAGTGAACCTCTTTTGAATATCAAAACACAGCTCATGAAAACAAACCGATAAAACCAAAATACATTCCCACGCTCTCCATGAAAGATTCAAGAGTTGGGACAGACTTCTCAGGATTTATGCCCAAATGACACCACAGGGCAGCAGTGAGTGGCCATCGAACCAGGATGAGGCAGGTGACCCAGCAGTCCCAGACTCTAAGGGGCTGAGCTCCACCTCTGGATGGGCTCCCCTTCCTTTCTGGTACCGATGGGCTCCTAGTTGCCCCAGATCAGGCAGCTCAAATCAGACATTCAGACATCCCAGAGGACTTTTAATTGAAAAAACTCACAGAACTTATCATGTGTCAAACCCAAATGCTTATTTCATATCACATATCTGGAATGAAGAGCATCTAACATCTCATGGGGTCTCCAGCCTTCATGAGAGGATATAGACAGGTGACCTTCAACCTATGACAGGGTTATCTTCATGATAAACCCAATGTGGGTGAAAATATCATATGTCAAAAATGCATGGACAATAATACTCCTAACCAATCAACCACCGCAGCTCAGCAACACAGCTGTACAGTACAGCTGTTGACCCCTCTGAGGGAGCCCGATGATTGGAAGCCACGGCTCTAGGCTGCTGTCCAGCATCTCAAGAGAA